CAATGCATCGATAAGGGATTCCCTGGTTCTGAAGCTTCTCATTGGTTAGAAACGGTCACATGATGTACTACGAAATCATTTTCCAATTTTCTATAATCAATACTTCAGATTTGTCACCTCCGTACGTACCACATTATCGGCACTATTCTCATCGCATACTCTTAAGCTTTTCCATGATTCTGTGCCAAATTAAAGTGTTTTGGTGAGTGCGGACTCAGAGTCATTTATGGATGGAAAAATAAGTAAAATTTCAGGAATGAAAAAGGTTTAGTAATGGACGAACACGCAACAAAAATAAGGCCTATTTAGTGTAGTTTTAGGATACCACGTGCGCTTTGCATGCGCGGTGCTAGCCCGTAGTTCAGCGGTTGTTTATTGTGCATGTTGTATACGCTGGAAATGTTCACATGAGCTACACACCAGAAAACGTGTTTCTTTGTTCATGAGACCACAACATTTTCGCGCCACTCGTGCACCGGGCGGATGTTAACAGGTCAAATTGCCGGATCAGATCCACCTTTTGCGTTCCCATCTGATCGTGATCCGGCAATTGCCGGATCTGATCCACCAATTGGGGGATCTGTATCCTGGTCCAGAGGTGGATCACTTATAACGGTTAGCGTTCCCACTACACACAATTGCCGGATCTGATCCACCAATTGGGGGATCTGATCCGGCAATTTGGCAAAAGGTGGATCAGATCCCCCAATTGGTGGATCAAGTTGATTTTAGTGAAGTTTTTCAAAATTGCTTTTAAAGTAACAATCCTTCCCAAAGAAGCATTGTTTCTTTTGGTGTCGACCTTGCAAAGTAAACAAAAACATGTAAATAATCCTTTTAAAGGTTTTTGCATCAAAAGTGAGTTCATTATGGGTGATGTGTGTACTGCACATGGACTGCAAAATGCAGCCTGTGCCCCAGTGTGTAATGTGTTGGCCATACATGTACATAGCACCCGAGGCCAAATGCAGCCCTTGGGTGTTAAAAACGTCATATCCCACACTGGCCTATCCAGCTTTTGATGTCAGGGGGGCAACCGCACTCACACGTCCCCGAACACTTGGCCTCCGTAAAATCCAAAGGGGGGGGGGGGGGGGGGGCGGGCTGGTACCCATTTTCCAAATGGGGGCGCTCTTCAAAACTGATCATTATTATGCATACTGGAAAATATATGCTGATTTTCAAGGCTCATTGTAATGGTTTCGGAGCTTGGTTTCTTTTTTGGGTGTGTCAGAACTGTCTAACCATTTTTGGAAATAGTTACTGAAAAAATATCTTTCAAAAAAGCTGCTTGGGGCAGGGGACAAGGTGCCCCCCCCCCATCCCCTCCCCTGCCCCCTCCCTTCTGGATACACCACTGCTCCCACATCACATTAGTCAACAATTGTTAATTGTTATTAAAGTCCGAGTTAGAAAGAGAAACAGTATTGTAACATGTGTTGTCAATTTGTTTACTTTAAACTGTAGGTGCTAAATGAAATGTCAGTGGCAGTCAACTGTGAGCAAGCCAAGAAACCTGTCTGCAAAAACAAGAACAGATTCCCCAATGTACTTCCATGTACAGGTAAGTTCATTTTGTAGAAGTTAGTATACTTTTCAAAAGACTGTTAAGTTGGAAAGTGGCCTCTTGAGGCAAACACCTGTCGGCACACTCACACTGCATTGTGAATTGTTCTAAATTGTAGGATTAATAGGTGCTAAGGTAGTTTATATAATATCTCCTTGCACAGCAAGAGAGATTTGGTGATTATTATGCAAAACAAGACTGCATCTTGACCTCGAGATTCTGACCATTCATCAGTGGGTACCTTCTATATCGGGTCTTTGGTTTTGTCATGTACATCTAATAACACGACTATACTTTTATGTTATAAATTGTGTTTAAAAAAAAACAGCCTGTGTCAAAACGTTCTGTGACTTCGAATGATCATCACATAATATTTGAAATAAACCGCATAATGTGAATGCCCACTTGTGCATGTTAACAGTATTAAAACCCAATGTCGGGTTTTATTGGATCTCTATGTCCGTTGCTGTATTACAAAAATATGGCATCAAAATTGACCAATGAACAGCTACGTCCAGATTTGAGAATGAAATGATGTCATGTCGACTCATGGCTGGCGCGCGGGGTCGCATTAATTTGCATGCATAGACATATCAGACGTTTGGCCAGAGACAGAGAGGGTGATACAATGGGTGATACTCAGACTAGTGTTAAGGCTTCATTCCTACAAAACCATTTTGTATATCAATTTATTCATAAAAGAGTGGACTGCAACATTAGGCAATTAAAGGGGGTTGATACCATCCAAACCTTTTATTGGTTCGTAACTAGTTTTAATTGTAAATATGTAAGGGACTGTTAAACCTGATATGATGTTTGAATTCCATTTTCTGTGTACCTTTCATTGGCGTAACTATGTGTCTCTCCCCCCCCCCCATTGAAATCTTGAATTGCAAACAACAAATGTATATGTTACCTTCCTTGCCCCCCCCCCCCCTTTCAAAAAAATTGGTGGACCCCCAGCTGCTCCACTGGAAGCTTTAATAACCCTAGTTACGCCGCTGGTACCTTTAGGAAGTTCCAGATCACGTACATTTCACTCCCATAGAATGTGCGATATTTATAAGTTATATATAGGTGTGGTGGGTACTTGACTGCACCCTCGGCAACCATACGATATCAGTTCTTCCACTCGTTAGATGTCAAGTTTAACTGTTTTTACGCCCGTAATTTAAAGAAATATTTACTTTTCAATTTTTTTTGGTATAAGCATTGAAAAACAAATTCCATGTTTGATTTTTCCCTTGTAAAGTGGTTGCTAAGGTTCAAATTTTGGTCATTCATGTGTCACTGTTTTGCTTAGGAGTTATAGACATTTGAAGTTTTCACAGGATAATAAAATACTGAACATAAAAGCCCATGAGGCGACCTTTAACATACAAAAGATTTCTTTTTTACTAAATGCTTTTTCTTGTGATAAAAATGAGCAATTTTCAAAGCTGACCGTAAACAGTGTTGTTGTAGTGTTTGTTTGTTTTTTGTTCGCAATACGTGGTACTAGACCTGACTAATTTTCTAAGATCATAGTTACATACTCAATATATTTTGAGAGCATTTGGACAATATTCAAATGCAGTCAATCAGGAGATAAAAAAACAAGAGAAAATGTGTTCACAAATCTGATTACTTGATAATCCCCTCTATCATTATGTATAAATGTTGGGGAAACCACTGATGTTATGTTTTTGTCTAAAACAAAATGGTCCTAAATGTAATAGCAAATGACAGCAGAGAAAAGACGGTTGTTTCATGAAATCATTGTTGATATGTTCACAGAAAATGTTTTTTAAAATGTGTCGACAAAATAAACAGTGAATAAACTAACTAGTGATACAATAACAACGGCTTCCAAATTAAGTGGTCTATAAACGATCAAATGCAAAGATATCTTTTTGAGTTGTTCCATCAGTGTAAAATAGGCAGCCCTCATTATGTATGCAAATAACTCTAGGAGTCACACATGCCCAGTGGAAAAAGCGGCTGAAACGTGCGTAAGATGCTGATTGGTAAAATAACAGACTTTGGATCTTTGCTGAAATGCCATTGTTGTCATGGAAGCTGTGTTCTCTTGGAGACATGGGCGTCGCGAGGGGGGGGGGGGCAAGGGGGGCAAAGTGGTGTAAATTTAATGAGGTGGGGGGGGGGGCAAAATGTCCCTGCCCCCCCTAAAACTGATAAATCGAGAATGTGTTGAGAAATACTTGTAAGCATTTTTTGGCAAAATTTTTTTTTGCCCCCCTCTAAAAAAAATCCTGGCGACGCCCATGCTTGGAGAGATATTCTGTAATTAAAGCAAATGCTCATTGCTTCATTTAGACAACTTGGTCTATCAGCATTTAGCAAAGCAATACTTATTCAAAGATGCAAAAGCCTCACTCATTTATTGAATTAACTAAACTATTATTTTAATGATACAGAACCTCTCATAAGGAGGTCATTCTATACATTTAGGGTCCAAAGTCAGACATTTTTCTTGTCCCTGCAACCTCCAAAATTGATAATTAGCCATTCAAGTGGCATTAAACATGACTTCAAACTAATTAATAATAATAATAATGATAATCGGCATTTAAGAATGCTCTTATTAGTTAACTAAATCACAGTGCTTACAGTATTATTATTACTCCTGATCATCGGGCCAATTAAACATTCCAAATACCATCTCAGCTCCCTGGGGAGTATACAGCTGGATGCTGCCTGTTAGGCACAAGCAAGCTTATTCAATCACAATAACTATCTCTGCCCTCACAGGTACCCATTTACTCCTGGGTGGGGAGAAGCAATGAGTGACAAAGTGCCTTGCACAAGGGCACACGCACCATGACCCCGGCTGGACTCGAACCCACAACCCGCAGCTTAACACACAGACCACGAATCCTGTGCCATTAACCACGAGGCCACAGCACTCCACATTAATAATTAATATTTGTTGGGTAGGTCATTTGATTCACAAAAGCATTCTTGGAGGAAGAGTACACACATAAAGGAGTGCATCTTCTATTGCAAAATCGTAGATGCCAGACGTATAGGGACAGGAAAAAACTGAACCCCAAATTCACAACATGTTCCAAATTCATCTTCTAATGTAGCATTTAAAAACTCCATAAAAGAAAAGCAAACAAACAAGATTACAAATTTATCAAATGTACATCCATCATACTAACCACATTTACAAACATACATGTATCATTGCAGTAGAATGCACAAGGATTTCATATCCAACTTGGTTGTAAACTAATGTAAATGTTGTAATGAAACTAATATTAATTTGATGAGGCACTCATCAAATTAATATTAGTTTTTAATATTGTTTTAGTTCAAAATTACACATACTTTTCCATTTGCTTTTGAGGAATTTACTTTTGTATCATGTACACAGAGGTGCTAAATCTTTTTCATTTGAAATATAAGTTGCAGTCATTAAAACTCAACAATTATTCCAATTATTGAACAATCCAATAACAAAATGTAAGGAAATCTTGACATTTTATACAGGAGCAGGGTTATATCTTATCCTTAGAAAACACATCATGCATTGACTTTCTATTTGCTGAGACGAATTTGAGAAACTTGAATTGCCCTCTCGTGGTTATAGGCCTACTTTCCCTTTTGTTTAAAATGTACACTGGGTAATATTTTGAAAATGTGCACTCATCCCTATTTGCAAACAATGTGAAGGGTCATTCCTTTGCTCTCGTTATTGGGCCACCAGATCTAAGATTTTATGGGAAGTAGGCTGGGCGTTGAGGTCCAAGATTTTTCAAAGGGGAAGTGGTTTAAGTGTTAGAGTCAAAGCATACAGAGACCATAGACCTTAGAAATAAACCAAATATACAGTATTATAGAATGTCATTCGAGGGAATTATGTTCTTTTTCAGTGATAACAATGTTCAATGTCTGATGGAAGTGGTTGGCGGATACACTGGATAGCCCCAGTTTAATTAATCTGTCCTTACACTCGGTGATAGATCTGTACAGACTGTCCTGCAGCCACTACCAGATCACCATCCACTGTGAATGTGATGCCACGTGGATCACTGCATCCATTGATCACACATCCAATGTACTTGCCATTAGGACTGTAATGCAGAATATCACCTGTTGGATGTCCGAACACAGCAACATAGATGCTGCCATCACTGTCACAGCACACACCATTAGGGTAGTAACCCTCCTGCATGTTGCTGGTCATATCTACTGAGAATACACTGGCACCATAGTAGTCTACACATACCAACCGTTTGTTAAGCCAGTTTGTGTAGATAAGGTGGTGATTGTGCATTGTCAGATAATCTCCAATCATTGGAGCAGGCAGTCTCCTGATGCGGGATCCATCTGGGTTGTGTAGAGATATCTCATTCTTGCCATCATAACCCACTGCTATCAGATTGCTGTCATCCACTGCAAGGCATGTTGGTTGGCTGTGTAGCCATTTACCTGGTTTGAACTGGTGGAGCTGATGCTGCTTGCTGAAGACCTTGACTTTTTGACCATCTATGACAAATAGCTTGTTATCCTTGCTCACTGCAATACACCTAACATTAGTGAGGCCATTGATTTGTGGCCTTATGATTGGAGATTCCTGATGACTTTTTGGAATTATAACAGTGAATAGTGTTTCTCTTTCTCCACTAAATGGTACGGATAGTGCAAGTGCAAGTATTTGATTGTTCGAGAGTGCTGCAACAAGTGACATGAATGATGATACACTTAATTCAAAGTTCTTGATTTCTGTCTTTAGTTTCCATTTCTCCTTCACACATGATCTTCCAGGTCTTGGTGATTGCTTCGCACCACCCCTTGACTGTTCTTCAGTCTTCAGTACCCATTTCTCCTTCACAATTGATCTTCCAGGTCTTGGTGATTGCTTTGCAGCACCCCTTGACTGTTCTTCAGTCTTCAGTTCCCATTTCTCCTTCACACCTGATCTTCCAGGTCTTGGTGATTGCTTTGCAGCACCCCTTGACTGTTCTTCAGTCTTCAGTTCCCATTTCTCCTCCACACATGATCTCCCAGGTCTTGGTGATGGCTCTACTGCTGCCTTTGGCTCCTCCTCCAGAATGAGTCTCCCAAGTGACCTCTCACCTTCTTCAAAGTCCATAAAGGTAAACTTGTCAGGAACTTGCTGTGGCTGTTTCCCTGTCAATTCACTGAGGTTATGCAAGAGCTTTTGCTCAAGTTCAAGAATCTCACAGCAACTTGCTTGATTCATGAGTTGTTTCACCTCCTCCAGCTTGTGCTCTGTCTGTGTCACCTCTTTGCTGTTATTGGCTTGAGCAGCTTCAAATGTTGTGACTCTTTCTTGATAAATCCTGCCCATCTCTTGCTTTAATTTCTCTTCTTCATTTTGGATTTTTGGAATCCCCAGTTGGATCTTTGCAACCTCTTGTTGGATCTTTGTAATCTCCTGATGAGCCTTTTTGGAGACTTTCTTTTGAGCGTTGGCAAACATGGTGTCCAGCTCCTTGCAAGATTTGCACGTCTTTTCTATGGTGTTTCTTAATTCTTTTTTTCTTCTCTCACTTTTTTGGACCATTTTTGTGACCTTTTTCTTACATTTCTCTGCAGCCTCAGGTAATCCAGTGAGTGAGTGTTTTGCGTGATCAAGTACAGAGCAAGTTGTGCATATGACTTGCTCACATGAGTTGCAGTAGATATTGAGATTCTGATCTGGATGCTTGCAACACTTGGGAACTTCTTCTCTAAGTTTACTCTTGTAGACAATCTCCCCTGATCGAAGTTGAGCCAGTGTGTAGATTTTATGAGATTTCATGGCAGTCATACGTTCATGTGCCTTTTGACATTCTTGACAGAGGAAATGATCACAGTCCATGCATCTTGAAATTGCCTGATTCTCCTCATCACAGGCTTGACATTTGATCTCTGACCCTTTAACTTCCAGCAGCTTTTCCTGCATTGTAACTTCCTCCACCAGGGCACTGAATGCAAAATTATTAGGGAGATCAGCAACCCCGGACCCTTTCAATGTGGTTTCACATCTGCACAGAGGACATGTCAGCTTTGTACCACTAGGATCCTGGCTCTGTCTGAGCTCTTGCAGGCATTGCAGGCAAAAACTATGCAAACAGTCCAGCAGTTTGGGCTGCCTGAAACGGTTGGTGCAGATGGAGCATTCCAGATGATCCACACTAATCTTCTCCAACACTGATTGGGCTGTAACATTAGATGCCATCTTCACTGTTGGGCTTGGTGTGAAAGGATGGACATTTAACCTGAAAATGAAGAACATTAAGTAAAAGGTTTTGGAATAACACTTATTTCAACTTCAAATGATAATTTGGCTGAAATAAGTTAGATGTAGCCTATAGATGAAAACTTTGTGTTAATTAGAATGTTCATAAAATTGAAGGGTCTACTTCACTCTACTTACCTGTAGAGCAATACTACTTATGCATATTCCCCCTACCGGCAGGTATTTTCGCTAAGAGTTATATACAATAGCGCCCTCTGGCGCCCTACCCATAACACCCCGCGGCATGCGTGCCTCGTGAGCGTCCTCTTTTCTCTTAGCGGCAGGTCGGGTAGGACGTGCGTGAAATAGCTCGCTGTTTGCCTCGTCATTTACTACCCTTTTTTGCGTTTAAGAGAAGTATTTAATAAAAGAGTTAGTAATCATTAGTTTGTAGAGTTTTCATCATCTTCTTGGTTTCATTTATTTCATAAATATGAAGCGTTTAGGGAGGGCCGATCTGTCACTAACCGGGGGGAATTCCTCTCCCACGGGACGGACCGAGTTCTCGGGGGACTCTGCCGTTAACACTACGTCGTTACCGCGGCAGCAGTCTCTCGTCCGACACCCTCAGCCACAGTCGGCTGGGGGAGTTGGCAGTTCCGCCGATCAGTTAAGGGGGCCTCGGTCACCTTCTCCGGTCAACTCAGGCGAAACACCCAAACTAAAGGCACACTCCGGCAAGGTTCCTCCAAAACATATCTCCTGTGCCGGAGCAAAGCCTAAGAAGGGCCGTCAGGGCAAGCGTGGCTCGGCAACGAGCGCCGCTGTGGCACCTGGCCCTCCCCCGATCACGGGGCAGCCTGAGGGGGCTAGCCGTCACACTTCAGTGGGTGCTCGTCACCCGTGTCCTCCCGACACAGTGCCGAACACCACTGGTTGTCGGGATGGGCTATTGCACGGGCTACCGGCCCGTTCAGCGCTCGCTCAGCCCACGGGGCCTGAGGCGCTGTCGGCCAGGTGCATTATGAGCGATACGGAGCCGATCGCCCGGGGGGACCCCGGGCCGACGGCCCCCGTGCCATCTCGCTCAGAGGGACTACTCTCATCATCGGAATTTTTCCGTTGTTCGGGGGTCCCGGTGTCCCAGGTGTCTTCCGATTTTTCCTCGGATACACCTCGGGGCCGTTCTTCTAAGAAGAAGAAGAGTAAGAAGAAGGCTACACGTCGATCACGCCGTTCTTCTTCGGGTTCTGACGACTCCTCTGACCGTTCCCGCCGGGGCAAACACTCCCGGGGGGAGGACGCGGTTTCCAGAGCAGATTTCCTGCAGGTTTTCCAGTCGATTTCTGATACGCTATCGGCTATGTCGGCAGGCCGCCGGGCGGGCCCTATTGGGGGGCCCCCTGCAGCGGTAGACTACGGCCCACAACCATCGGTTGTGGGGCCCACATCGCAGTCTTCAGTCACTGGTCATGCTTGGGTGGCCCGGGAACAAAGGGACATACCGCACACAATTAGTCGTGCTCCGGCGTCCCCGCCTGCGGTAAGAGCTTCACAGTCGTCGTTCGTTGGCCACGGTTGGGTGGCCCAGGCACAACGGGATATACCACACGTGGTTGACCGTACACCGGAGGCCCGGCCTGCAGCGAGTGTCTCGCATGCATCGGCCGTGAGCCACGGTTGGGTGGATCAGAGGCCGCGGGATCTACCGCGTACGCTGGGATCCCCGCCTGTATTGAGCATTCATCCATCCATGCCGTTTGACTCTGAGGAAGTTGTCCAGCCGCTAGCGCGTGGCTCGGTACAACTCGCCCCTACAGACGACGTTCGTTCACCAGAGTCAACTCGGCCCTCACAATCGGCCGAGTCATCCGATGACGACGAGGAACCAGACCGATTACAACGGCTGTCTATCTCTGAAACGGAGCTCCGTTTAGTACAGAGGTATATGATAAGAGTACTTAATCTACCCTCCGCTGATGAGCCCCCTCCGCCCGATCATAAATCTTTCAAGCGAAGGACGGGCTCCACATCTAGCAGCTATAAAATATTCCCCATACTTCCTTTAGATCAAGTATGCGTGGAACATATCGACAACATCACGTCAACGGATAAATGGCGTCCGTTTCTCAGACGGGAACGAGATTATTTTCGTTTCCCAGCTGAAGATTTTGCAAAGTTTTTCACTCCGCCTACTCTCCCCGACGCAGCAAAAGATAAACTTGCGGCCGATGAGAGTGGTTCGTCTTCCAAGCGACCCTTTGTGGACAAATCGCGTTGTAAACTTGAGGACGTTTTGAAGAAGATAGACACAGCTTCACGTTTCAGTTCGCGGTCAACGTCTTTCTTACTTCTTCTTACGAAATATTTAGCCGTCGGCTATGAAGAGGACTCGCCGATTCCAGCGGATATGCTGACTGCGGCCCTTCATTGCCTTGACCATGGTCTACGCTCAGTGCTTGATCAATTTGCACGTGTGTCGGCCCTATCAACGTCCACCCGCCGGGGTAACGTGCTCGATGCACTGTTCCTCCCGTCGTAGGGTGCTCGAAAAAGACTTGAAGATCTCCCCCTGACGGGCACGGATCTATTTGATGGTAAATTCGAAGATCAGATGCGAGATGAGGCCAAACGTCTGAAGGCTACGGAGAAAATCAACTTCAAGAAGCCTCCTGCACCGGCGTCCAAACAACAGCGTGGTAAGGGCAAAACTTTTTCTATACCCGCCGCAAACCTCTGAAATCTGGTCGCGGTGGTTTTCGTGGCCGCACGGACAATACTTCCGGTGCGCGCGCCACGCAGGCCCGCACGTTCTCTGGACAACAACGGCCCCAATCCGGTCGTGGTTTCCAGGCACCGGCCCTCCGCTATCCTGGGGGCTGGTGCAAGTGACTTAGTAGACTCGTGGCGGCCTCCCGCCGTCGGACCCGTGGGAGGCCGTCTCCGAGACTTTGCGGGGTCCTGGGGTTTAATTACGTCCGACCGGTGGGTGCTCGATACGATCGGGTGCGGCTACGCACTTGAGTTCTCGAGCACCCCCCGTCGGACATGGTCGTTCGACCAACGGTAGTTCGGTGTGATCCTACCAAACGTCTCTCCCTCGAAGGGGAGATCAGTTCCCTCCTCGAGATACGGGCAATTCGCCCGCTCCCTCCGGGGGAGACGCGGTCGGGCTTCATGTCGACCTTCTTCCTGGTACCCAAGAAGGAGGCCGGCATGTGGCGCCCGATTTTAAATCTAAAACCCCTCAACTAATTTATTCGGCCAAGACGTTTTCGCATGGATACGCTCAACATCATACTCCAATCGATTCGTACACCTGCGTGGGGAGCCAGTCTAGATCTGAAAGATGCGTATCTACACATTCCTGTCAGACCAGACCACTGGAAGTTTCTTCGTTTTCAGTACGAGAACGTCCAGTAGAGTTCATGGTTCTTCCGTTTGGTCTAGCCACCTCACCCCGAGTCTTCATGCGTGTGGTGAAGACAATCGGGGCCGCATTAAGAAAACAAGGTGTGATGATCTTCATGTATCTGGACGATTGGATCATTATTGCTCAATCTCAGACGGCCGCGTCGGCGGCACTCAATCTGACTTGGCGTCTAGCGGTGGATCTCGGGTTTATTATCAACGCCGAAAAATCCCATCCACATCCATCCCAATTCCCAATCTTTCTGGGAGCGTCTCTCGATCTCCAGAAGGGATTGGTTCGGCCTACGGAGGAACGAGTTGTAAATCTCCAACAGTGTGTGTCTCTGTTTCTCCCGACGACCATGGCCCCAGCACAAGCCTGGCTAAGGTTGCTCGGTCTCATGGCCAGTATGGTAGATGTGGTGAACTTTTGCAGACTAAGGATGCGTCCCATCCAGTTACATCTGCTGTCCTTCTATCGGCCCAGTCGTCACCACATACGTCATCTGGTGCCGACCACACCTTGGCTGATACCGCACCTCCGTTGGTGGCTCGACAATACAAATCTCATGGAGGGGCGCGCGTTTCACAGTCCCAAGCCGTCAGTGACCATCACGACAGATGCGTCACTTTTTGGCTGGGGGGCCACCCTCCACCCGCGCCAAGTAGCGGGTCGGTGGGGGCCCAAAGATTGCTCAAAGCACATAAACGTGCTGGAGATGTTGGCAGTCATCAATGCTCTCCAACGTTTTCAAGCATCAGTGACGAACCAGGTAGTCAACATTCGATGCGACAATGCCACAGTAGTGGCCCACATCAATCGACAGGGAGGCACGCGATCCGCCCAACTATGCGCACTCACGTGGAATCTCTTCCACTGGTGTATGGGCCACGGAGTAGCACTCGTGGCAACTCATCTCCCAGGCGAGGAGAACGTCACAGCCGACGCTCTCTCCAGGGGGTGGGTCGCTCCGACGGAATGGTCACTGCGTCCGCAGGTTGTCCAGTCACTTTTTCTGTTGATCGATCGGCCTCATGTCGACCTGTTTGCCTCTCGAAACAACCACCAGTTACCGGTATACTGCGCAAGACACAACGACCCTTGCACATGGCAGACAGACGCACTGGCAATACGGTGGGACAGACTACTTGCGTACGCCTTTCCCCCGTTCTCCCTCATACCGCGAGTACTGGCCAAAATGGAACAGGAGGACTGCAAGATCCTCCTCATAGCTCCCTTTTGGCCACGCCAGCCTTGGTTCCCGAGACTCATCAAGCTCTTGGTTCACCACCCGGTGATTCTTCCGAAGAGGGCAGACATACTGTTCCAGCCCAGCTCGGGTTTTCTTCACCCGGCCCCGGAGGATCTCCACCTGACGTGCTGGGTATTATCAAGCAATCCTTCCGCACGGCGGGCCTTTCTGAACGAGCTGCGGCCATTGCAGCCTGCAGCCGGCGGGAATCTACCAGGAAAATATATAGCAGTAGATTACACCATTTTTACAAATGGTGTAGAGCCAGGTCTCTGCGTCCCTCCGATACTTCTATAGGAGAGATTGCAGACTTCCTAGTAGGCCTCTTTGACAGTGATCTTGCTACATCCACAGTTAAGAATTATCGTTCGGCTATAGCGGCTATTCATGGAGGTTTCTCTGACGGTTCCTCGGTGTCAGATAATCAGAATCTTAGCCAACTTATCAAGGGGATGTTTGTGTCACGCCCCCCGACACGTAGGCTATTACCATCGTGGGATCTCTTTGCCGTTTTATCAACCTTATCGAGACCCCCGTTTGAACCAATGGGCAGCTCAACCTTGTTGCAACTGTCGGTTAAAGTGTCATTTCTATTAGCAGTGGCTAGGTCTAGACGACGTAGCGAGCTGTATTCGCTTACGGTGGAGACAGGTCATATCCGGTGGGAACCAGGGGGTGTTCGCCTGGTTCCTAAAACAGGTTTTCTGACCAAAAATCAGTCGGAATCATTTTCACCTCCTGACATTTTTGTGCCGGACATCAAATCCTTTTCGTCTGTCTCTCGTGACAAACTTTGGTGTCCGGTCAGGGCCCTGAAGTGGTACGTTGATAGAACTAAAACACTCCGAAGCGGCCATTCACAGCTGTTTATAACAACGACTCCACCATACCGACCGGCCTCGCGTGATACAATTTCCCGCTGGTTGGTTACGGCCATCAAATCAGCAATAGACTCACCAACAACAGATTCCGTTGGGTCAGTCCATGCACATGAGGTCAGGGCAACTTCTACTTCCTGGGCCTTTTTTAAGGGTGTTTCTATTAAAGATATCACACAGGCAGCGTGTTGGAAAACCCCCAACACCTTTACAGAGTGCTATTTGAAGGATGTCCTCCAGACGGAAGGCAGAGCCGGGAGAGTGGTGCTGAAGGCGGCAAGCCGAGCATCATCGGGTCCACAGGATCCTCTCCTACCCGGGACTTCCCTAGAATAGGTGAGTCTCCTCATCCTGACTATTTACATTATACATTACATGTATTGAATATAAATGTATAGCTAAACACTCTTGTAATAAGGTCATTGGTCTTGGACAAGTTACCTTTTTTGTATACAGTTTACCTTGTGCATGGGCTTGGTTTGAAGTATTTTAGAACTTGCTTTAAGAAGTGTCGTGTACTAACAGTACTCTTCTTTGCAGGATTCAACTGTATTATATCATAATACTTTACATTATGAGACGTTCCCCCTAACGAGGGCTGACGTCTCGATTAACATGTGAGGGTAATTAATATCCTTTACATGTAGAGTTCTTGGTTTTTTCCCCTGTCCGCCTTTGGACGGAACAGTGGGAGCCATCTGGGGTTGCATTCCATGCTTCATGCCCCTGTGAGTAAGCAATAGCATCTCGCATGACCCACCTCCTTGACGGTGCTAGTCTATACATAAGTAGTATTGCTCTACAGGTAAGTAGAGTGAAGTAGACTCCCCCCCCCCCCCCCCCACAGAAGTGTGGTTGGGGTCTACGAACGAATACTTACCTGTAGAGCATCCCTCCCCCCTACCCCACTCTTCTCGATGCCTTGGGTACTTTGTTGTATTCCGACTTAGCGCTCGAGAAAAGAGGACGCTCACGAGGCACACATGCCGCGGGGTGTTATGGGTAGGGCGCCAGAGGGCGCTATTGTATATAACTCTTAGCGAAAATACCTGCTGGTAGGGGGAATATGCATAAGTAGTATTGCTCTACAGGTAAGTATTCGTTCGTAGACCCCAACCACACTTCTGTGGGGGGGGGGGGGATTTATTCACATACTATATGCTTGATTCAAACCTGATGTTATTTTTTTTCCAAAAGAAAATAACATTTAGTTACAACAAATGTGTAATAGGGTTTCCTTGTAAAACAAAAGTAGGTCTCAAGTAAAAAAATATTTCAATGACAAATAATTGCCGACGGTTGTCCAGAATTTAAAAAAAGGGCACTCGTAAATGGCCGCTGGTAACCAAAAAGCACTGATTTAAAAAAAAAGGCCTTGTTTACAAAATAGGTACTCTTTACAAATATGGGGGGGGGGAAACGATGATGTAAAAGGGCACTTACTGTTTAATACTCAGGTGGGGCTCGAACCCAGTACCTCCTGTTTAGTGCAGACGTCTTATCACTCCACCTCTGAGCTTGCCTTGGTTAGCTGGGTGGTTTGAGTCGAGGTGAGCAAAAGTCTGCAACCAAATATTGTCTGCACCGAAAAAAAAAAATTTCAAGTACTTTAACTGGCTCTATTTCAAATCGTAGACTCAAAGTTTATATTTTTTGTTGTTTTATTATTATTTTGTGATCCACTAAGCTACGTCTGTGCCGAATCTTCTTAAAGGTCTCACACTTGTTTGTAAGACTACAGGTAAGTAGAAACAACGCCTGTCACTTATTTTTGTTATGAATATGAGGAGATTCATGAATTCCACATGTCTGTATTCTAACAGGTTTGACGGATCCACCTGAATTTCCAGTAAATTCATATACACTTGTAATTGGCAAATACTGAGTTACGTACATGTACTTCATATGAGATAATGTGATGCTGGTGATTTATATCAGATGTATAGAAAGACTTACAGGTAAAACCATTAAATAAAAATGTTACCTTCAGATACACATGAAATGAGCTATTGCTATCTGCCCATTCTGATGTCACTTACGGCAATGGTTGAAATGAACAAAGATGGCGTTCTATGTAAACGCCTCTCTGTATCAACACAGACCATGTCACCTGATTTTGAGTACAGTCATTTGCAGTCCCTGGATTCCACTTCTGTAGAGGTTTGGTACGTGATCATAGTAAAATCAAATACAGTGTTAAATATCATATGGATCCAAAGGTGTTGAGCTGGTAATATTTGCAGTACCAGTACCCAAATTCCGATAACGTAGCACTTTGGTACGTGCTCATAGTAAAATCAAATACAGTGTGTTATATCAAATGGATCCAAAGGTTCTGCGATGGTAATATTTGCAGTCCCCAGAGTCCACTTATGTAGCGCTTTGGTACGTGCTCATAGTGAAATCAAATACAGCATGCTGACTGTGTTTTATATCTAATGGAAAGAGTCTAGAGCTTGTAATTAGCAAGATTATGGACAGGTTTATCAGAAAGGTAAACATCAAGAAGCCACAGGGTCAATTACCTGATGCAGTTATTTTAAGCTGACTGTTATTGCAGATGACACCTGTTTTAATATCTTTTGATATGTTGCCAGTCAGGATACTCAAGTCTGTTGTGTGGGCAAAAATAAACACGTAAAAAAGAGGTACACAATGGACCAACTGTAATTAGTTTTGGAATCTAGTTTTGTTTTGTTGGGTTTTTTTTCTCTTCACTTTCTTTATATTTATCTACATTTTAGCCACTGTGCAGTTGGTGTTTTACAATTTATATGCATGTATATCAATCAACAGCGCTACGCTTGCATACTTAATTTAAATTATATACATCATAACAAAACTTGTTATTTCTCTCAGTGATTCAGCATCAGCAGTGCTTTGTTACACAATTTCCAAAACTCACATTTTTAAGGCTTTTTCTTTTATTGCATCCCAGTTCAGTTCATTCAGCACTATTTTTGAATATTCATTCCTATTTTGTGCCTTCCCTAGGCTGATTGGTCCATTGCTGAGATGAATGCTGAGATTGGGGAGAGCCACGCCCACCTCTACACATCACAGACTGATGAACAGGTATGTTCAGCAATAATGTGGTTCAGTCTATTTGAAATCGGTATATGGGTGCTCAAAAAGGGCGGGGCATAGAACCATAAGGGTAAGAGAGGTCCTGTCATTGAGGCATTTTTTTTTGCTTGATGCTACAAAAGTGATCAAAATATGCAGATGGATGTTTAACAACTAACCTGAAAACATTTTAGCTCAGTAATTGCTTTACCTGCCAAGAAACCAATATACTGGGATGTGGATTTCAAATCAAAAGTTGCAGAGCCATGTTTTTAATTACGCCCAAAATCAGCATCCGGGACATGTTCTCATTCAGCTGATTGCAGCTATGCGATGCCACCCAATGAACCGATAAATAATAGTTAGCAATGGCGCGTGCTTGTGTGTCATGTCAGTGCTTGCACGCACCCATTCACAGATTCTTCAAATAACAAACGTTACTACTCACTGGATGTATCTTTGGAAATTGCCTTCTTTTACTATTTTCTGAAAATGACAGCATGCCAGAAAGAATATTTTCACAGGGAGTTTATTGCCATTACTATTTCCATTACAGAAAATACCTCACCTCTGTTTACCTACATTTGCATATCAGCGCGCATGCGCACAAACATTCGCTGAAAAGAATAGCGCCCAAGCCACACCCTCATTGTCCACTGCATGCCCCACGCCCACAAAGGACCCTGTAACATAATAGCTCGTCCTAGTTTTTTCAGCGACGAGTAGCGTCAACACGTACAAATTAACCGTACTCGCTGTGCCTGTAAAGAACATGGCGGCCTCCGCCAAAAATAGTAAACTATTACTGTTAGCCCAAGTCGTTCTTCTAAAGGAAATTAAATCACCCTCCATCGAACACTCCAAGCGTGATATTTCCGCCACTGCGACCGGATTTAATTCCCAGGTTCGACGGTAGGAAATACCGGGAACAGGCACGTCTCTCCAGCGAGAGTCACTGCAAGATTTCCGGAAAATCCCGCCACTACGACCGGGTCTACATGTAATTCCCGGGTTCGACGGTAGGATACACCTCGGGAACTAGCAATTCTCTCCAGAGAGAGTCACTGCTAGATTCCCGGAAAATCCCGCACATTCGACAGTCTACTAGTACGACAGCACATGCAAGCAGCGGAATCAGAGATCGTCACTCATGTGCTTGCGGGTAGGCGAGGCTTGGCGTTCGATACCCAATGGTCCCTCGGTAATTATAATTCGCCAGCCCGCCCAGTCACAGAGGCGGGGCACCACCCACCACCACCTTCTTCATCAACACTACACGCAAGTACAGACGTACACCAGGATCAAGCTTTCCGGGTGAGCCCGAGATTTCTCCATCCCCTTCGACTGAATCAA